CAGCTCGGGTTTCCCTAACGCGACCAGCGCGTCCTCCCTCCCCGCGCAGGAACGGCCCATTTGCCACGTGCCAATATCGGGGATACCAGGCATCGCTCCACGCCCTCACACACAGCACCGTCGGCTTTAGTCAGTCAGAAGACGAGAGCATTGGGGCAACAGCCTGTCCCACTTCAGTGATTTTCAAAATGTTTTTCTTGCCCCTCTTTTCAGTTAATCGCCGTACTTCTCACTTCTGCAATTTTATACTGCGGTCTGTTTTATTATCTGTTTGCATGCTGATTCTAATCTCATTGTGGCTCCATCAGTTTAATGACACTACTGAGATTTATATCAACATATGTAACCGGATTCTTCCCCAAAAGGAGTACTGGGGAAGAAATTGGCTTCATTAACTGCTAGCCACAGCCAAGAATACCCCATTTCAGCTAGTTCTTTTTCTTGACTCCAGCTGCTTACAACAGTAAATTGAACAGCAACAGCAGCAAGTGAGGATAAATGGAGCGGAGTTGGTGTGAACATAAATAGGGGGAGTTAAAGAGAACATCTGAAAGTCTGGATCCACAGTTTTTAGCATTCAATTTGGCTACTGTTTAGCCTGTTCCGCAGACAAGGCTCAGAAGTGACATTTGAATCAATACTTTCCCTAGCTTGGATTCGAGATTTGGGTTCAAAGACTTCTATGACTTAGAAACAAATACCAGAAGGGGTGTTTATCCAAGTGGTAACTGTATCTGCAGTGCAGATCAGCAAGCACCAGCAGGCAGCGCAGATTCACGGGCATTTCCTTGGTTTGCTGTGGCCACTCCAGCACAGCAATTCCTGTACCCAGCTTTCAGTGTCACTTCGGCCACCATCAGTGTTTACCATAATTAAGGCCTGGTACTAATGTCCAGACTGACTCCTTGAACCGCAAGTAGGAGACTGAGGACGTATAGTTCCTGTGTGTCCTTTGTCCTCAGGACATATACTCATACTTGTCCTCAGTATCCAGTACCTGGGTACTGCCACACTCCCAGGTGGCATTGATACAATTAACAGCTGATAATGTTCAGTCATCACTACTTCAAATCCTGCTGCTGACTCAGCAGATTTATGCCTATCTGTGAGCAGGCCAGCACTGTGGCTTTCTCCTTCCAACATGTCCACATGGACAGATAAGGATGCAATGCACCTGGTCCTCACACATTTGCTCTATGTGACAACATGATCAGACAGGACTGCAGCAAATCCTCTAAAAAACATACCCAGATAGTGCTGAACCTCTCCATCTTCTGGCCTGGTCTCTCGCTTTCTAGCCAAACTGCGCAAAACAGCTGGCAGTAACACACCCTATGCACCTTCAGTCACACCCCAAGTGCTCTCTTCTCCTCTGTTGTGGTTTAACCCCAGCCAGCAACTAAGCCCCACCCAACCACCCTCGCTCACACACCCCC